AACGCATCGTGGATAGAAACGTCTTCTGATTCTTTTTTTTTTTTTTTTTTTTTTTTTTTAGTAAGTTCTCGTTATTTATTCATTCTGAAATTCGGTCTAAAATCATTTTCGTTTATTGCTCGCTCACAGTTCACAAATTGTCACGAATTATCGTGGAGATGAAAGTATTTTGAATAAATAAAGTCTTTTTTTTTTTTTTTTTTTGCTATCCTTTTCTTTGTCTAGCAAGAATTAACAAATGCGAGAGAGATTTGGGAGAAAATGGTTTCTTGTACGCGATAAATGTTTCAAAGTGATAAATGTTCTAAGAGACGATTTGACAATTGTCTTGAAGCCGAGTCTTTGAGTCAATATATCTTTTTTTTTTCAGCAAGTTTTCAAGAAATTTGGAAAATTTGATATATCTCTTACATGATAAATGAATCGACAATTATCATGGAGATAGATCTTTTCGATCTTCATTGCTTGCCATTCTTTCTTGTTCAGTAGTGAAAAATGGTGTCTGTTATACGATAAACGTTCCAAAATCATAATCTGATAGATGAATTATCATGGAGATAGATCTTTTCGATCTTGCCATTCTTTTTTCAGTAATGGAGAACAGTGTTTTAAAATAAATATTCCAAGAGATGATTAAATGGAGGTAGATCTTTTTGATTGTCTTTTTTTTTCAGTAATGGAGTGTTCCAAAAAAAAAAAAAAATTCTAAGATTAAATAATTATCATTCTTTTTTCAGTAATGGAGAACAGTGTTTCAAAATAAATATTCCAAGAGATGATTAAGTGAAGGTAGATCTTTTTGATTGCCATTCTTTTTTCAATAATGGAGGACAATGTTTCAAAATAAATATTCCAAGAGATGATTAGATAATTATTATAAAAGTAGATCTTTTTGATCTTCATTGCTTGCCATTCTTTTTTCAATAACGGAGAACAATGTTCCAAAAAAAGAATATTCTAAGATTAGACAATTATCATGGAGGTAGATCTTTTTCATCTCCATTGCCTGCCATTCTTTTCTGTGTCCAGCAATGAAAACCATGAGAATCATTATGCAAATGTTACAAAACTTGTATATGATAGACGGAATATCATAAATCTGTGTGTCTTGGCTGATGAAATAAAAATCGGATTTTCAATATTAGATTTCAAGATGAAAGTCGTTTAAGTCACGAGAGAATATTACAGAGTTGCGTAGAGAATTCACGAGAATCACAGTTTACATCCGGAGACTTGCAACAATGATCTTTCACGTCTCTTTGAGTGGAATCTAATTGCTCCCTAAACTGATTGAAATCCAAGTGCTTGAAATAGGAATTGATTGAGAATGGCTGACTGATGAAAACGCTTCTCGTAGTACCAATTTAAAACTTACGCTTGATAGATTGATCGCTCTTAAGAACGAAACTAAAATATATCTAATTCGAGTTTCATATTTTTTTTTTTTTTTTTGAAATTCTAAGATTAAATAATTATCATTCTTTTTTCAGTAATGGAGAACAGTGTTTCAAAATAAATATTCCAAGAGATGATTAAGTGAAGGTAGATCTTTTTGATTGCCATTCTTTTTTCAATAATGGAGGACAATGTTTCAAAATAAATATTCCAAGAGATGATTAGATAATTATTATAAAAGTAGATCTTTTTGATCTTCATTGCTTGCCATTCTTTTTTCAATAACGGAGAACAATGTTCCAAAAAAAGAATATTCTAAGATTAGACAATTATCATGGAGGTAGATCTTTTTCATCTCCATTGCCTGCCATTCTTTTCTGTGTCCAGCAATGAAAACCATGAGAATCATTATGCAAATGTTACAAAACTTGTATATGATAGACGGAATATCATAAATCTGTGTGTCTTGGCTGATGAAATAAAAATCGGATTTTCAATATTAGATTTCAAGATGAAAGTCGTTTAAGTCACGAGAGAATATTACAGAGTTGCGTAGAGAATTCACGAGAATCACAGTTTACATCCGGAGACTTGCAACAATGATCTTTCACGTCTCTTTGAGTGGAATCTAATTGCTCCCTAAACTGATTGAAATCCAAGTGCTTGAAATAGGAATTGATTGAGAATGGCTGACTGATGAAAACGCTTCTCGTAGTACCAATTTAAAACTTACGCTTGATAGATTGATCGCTCTTAAGAACGAAACTAAAATATATCTAATTCGAGTTTCATTATTTTTTTTTTTTTTTTTGAAAAATTGACTCGAAATTAATCGAACGTGTAGGATAAATTTGTTCAAAAATGATTTCCAAATTATTCCAAAAGATTTCACGTTGAAAATTGATTGATTTTTTTAATTGAATTAATACTTTCTTATTTACAAGATTTCAATATAAATTTTTAAGAATTTTCAAAAGCTCGACCACTTTTTCAATAGCAATGAATAAGAAATCTTTAAGAAATTTGAAGTTTCTTTGTGTCGATTTCTTCCGACGGGGAGGAGGATTTTCGTGCAAAAAAGTTTTATCCTGGAAGTTTTGATATTTGAGTATACGGTGCCATGAAAGTAGTTGAACTTTTGATTTTCAAATAAGATACTTCCAAACTACTCTGCGCTGTATTTTTATTTTTTCTTTGGCAGTTATTTTGATAATTTATCGCGGTACTAAAAAAATACTATTGCTATGTAAACGAATGGATAAATTATTAAAAATAATAATAGCTCCCTCAACTCATTTTTAAACAAGCAACTTGAAATATTTTATAATAAAATTTCTCTCTCTCTCTCTCTCTTCTTTTTATAATCATTCAAATTAGAAAAAGCAAGATAACAAATAAATGTTATCACATTTACAAGCAACAAGCAATACATCTCAATATAATTCTGTCTCAAATTAAACAAATTCAGAAATACCGCAATATCCATAATTTTGCACAAACTTCGCCTAAACTTAATTCTTTCAAATTTAAAAATTTAAATATCCCTAATAATAATAACAATAATGATATAAGTGAAAGGAGAAAATTTCACAAGAACGATATGAAAATCAGCAGCAACAGTCGAGACACGTTGTTGCATATCGGTCAATATCTTTCGGACTTTCCGATTTACAAGCGTGTAGTAGCTAATAATTTCCGGCGTCGGTGATTGATAATGACGTGTACGTATAAGCGCCACGACGAATATCGATTTCCAATCCCAGCATTGGCCAGCTCCTCGCGAAAATGTGCAAGCCTGGCCAATTTCCGTTCCGAATCCCGCGATTTTCGCGCTGCTCGATATATATCGTTGCGAATGGAACGAAATTAAAAATAAGAGCTTTACGTTTGTTGGAAAAAGTAAGAAAATTACTAGGTGTGATTAATTTTAATTTTAATCAAAAAACAGGCGATATAACGTAAACGTTAGGGAAGAATAAGTTTTACTTTTTAGTGTTTTTAAATGAAAAAAAAAATTTATCTGCTACTTTTTTTTTTTTTTGGAGAGAAAACTTTTTCCTTCGCAATTGTAGAATGATGTGATATTTCGATGATAAATATTGCGTATAATAGGTGTGGCTGCACGAAAAAGTTCGATTCCAAGTTTAAACTTGTGAGAGAATCCTTATATAAATTCTTAGAGTTGTAAAAAAAAAAAAAAAAAAAAAAATAAGCTTCCTCCTTCTCTTAATTACTTTATCCCATGTCAGTTTTTATTCTTTTTCTGTTTTTTAATATCCAAAGAGAATAATGAACAGAGAATTGTATATGAATGTAATATGTACACAGATATAAATTCTTTCATTGATTAATACATTTTATTAATCACACTTTAGACCAAAGAAAGGAGGTAACTTTTTATCAATTTAGAGTCTTCAAGAGATCATTAATAGCGGTGGTAAAAGCAATAAAACCTTTCCAATATACTTATCGCGTAATTTATCTCAAAACTCGATTAAACTCTATTAAAATTAGGAAAACTTTGAACCGCTATAATTTTGAAGATAGTAATTTCCGGTCAATGAACGAAAGATCTTTACAAGCGCGAAACTTTGCCCTTTCATACATATTTTCATTTGTCCCGATACGACTTTCGGTTCTCGAGATATCGTCATTTAAAGGAAAAGTAATTTTTAATCATTTGTTGTCTCAAGACCGATTAAAATTAGAAAAACTTTGAACCGCTATAACTCCGAGCATAGCGACTTCCGGTCAATGAACGAAAGATCGTTAGAAGCGCGAAACCTTGCCTTTTAAAATGGTTTTTCATTCGTCTCGATATGACTTTCGGTTTCCGAGATATCGTCGTATAAAGAAAAGATAATTTTTAATTTTCGTTCCATTTCCATTCCTGCCACTTGGTTCGACGCATCAACTTTCTCTCTCTAACCTGGTGTTAAATTACCAAACAAGCGGCAGACGCGATCCTTGAAAAGACGTAGTATCTAGGAAAAAATGAAAGTCACTAGGTCGCAGATCTATTCATAATCTCTGTGCTAAGCGCTATGAACACTTTGAGCGTTTATATCTCGGCAACCAATTGAGATATCGGAACGAACGAAAAGGTGATTTCAACGCCACGATTTTCTTTATTTTTCCGAGTGAATTTTCGCGATAAAATTTCTTTTATCTTTATCTCTCTCTTTTTTTTTTTGTTTACATTCGTTTCAAAGATCACACAAATTCATTTATATCCTTAAAATATATGAATAAAATTCAACCGTAAAATCATAATACGTACACACTCGCTTGTTATATATTATTTTTAATTTATCATTCATTGCAAAACCTTCCTGTAAATTCGAAAAACATTTTTTCTTCATTGCACCATCGTGGCGGCCAATTCTCCTTCCTTCGCTCTCATCCAGGGACAAATTGAACCCAATTCTCCCCGCATTCGAGGGAACACAGGCGCGCACAGAAAACAGGCGATGTGTGTCGAAACACAAGTGTCTCCCGCGCGCTTTATCGAAGGCTTTTTGTGTGTCTGTTGTGTGTGGAGGAAGGTTGGATACGAGAGGGCAGAAACACGCAGTAATCAAATGCACTTTACAATTGAATTTCAGGCGGGAGAGGAAGAAAGCGATTCTCACCTTAGAGGAAAGAGGGAGAAGAAAATATGGGAAAGGGAGACAAGAGGGGTATCGCGCAGCGCAGCGACGGTGAGTGTTTGTTTAATGTTAATTGAACGGTGTACGGGGTGCTGTTGCGCGCCTCAACTATTGCGACCGCTTCGCGCTTCGATATTACGGTTTCTGTGCCTCGAACACTTCGAGTTTCGAGATCATTCTTTATTTTGCAGAAAAATGTGTATGATCCCTTTTTTTTTTTTACATTTAATAAAATAAAAAATTTGAACGAATGAAAATTTATATTGCGCAGAATCGAATTGTTTTCAGTTCGATAGTTATTAATACAAATTGGATCGAGTTTTTTTAACTAATTTTCTTTGTAATAATTTACAAAGATAAAATTTTAGATTATAGTCAAGTGGTTTCAATTATTCGAAGGAAGTTCGCGTTCAGAGAGATATGAATAATTATCGAGCAAATGGTGCTCGTGAATTATGCATATGTATACGACAAAGATTGTGAAAATACGAAAATGGTGTTTATCGGGTATCGGAAAATGGATCGAGTTTTACTTATTTTTTTTTTTTTTTTTTTTTTTTTTTTTTTACTTATTCTTTTTCTTTGTTCACACGAGAATGAGATTTTTTATCGTAATTTCTCGTGGGTATATAAAAACTTTGTAATTAATACGTAAATTAAAAAACTACGCGAGGCATATAGAATAAAAGTATAAAAGTTTCCAAAGTTTTTTAACGTAAGCTTTGCATGAATTATTTAAAGGTCGTCATCTTTCACTTTCTTCGCTTCTTTGCTCTTCTAAAACAATTTTTCTCACGACAAATTTGGAAACAAAAACTAGTTTTTTTTTTTTTTATCTCTTTTTTTAATTAACGAGGATAAACGTTCAGTTTTATTCCATCTATCGAATTTAAATTCAAATGAAATTCCAAATTTTTTACCAAAGATAGATTATTCGAAGAAACGCAAAATATCATCAAACGAATCATTTAAAATAAACATCGAATTTAAATGTTAAATAAAAGATGAGATAAAAGTTGTCGCTCGTGTCACACGTCGCGAAAATAAAATAAAATTAAAAAAGGAAGGAAAAAAAATTCTTCTTTAAAATATTCATCGGTGTATACGTAAAATAATACACAAGAGTTGGCAACACTGTAATTTTTAAACTCTCGCATACATCGGTATCGTGTTACAACGCATACGTTGGCAATATCTGGTAAACGGACGTGAAGTTGGTATCATAGTTCGAAACTATCGCGAAACTTTTCCCTCGGATATGTGTCAGAAACGTATGTTGAAACCTCTGATTTCGATGTTATCTCCGTTAATGAACGCGAGGATAGTTTATTCATATACTCGATACATTTATTTATACACGCATATTCGTTTTGTCGTTTTACATTAAAACGTGGCTGAATTTCATCACCGAAGAAAAGAATCATACGAAATACGATCGGTTTGTTTGAAATAATTTTCTAAGCAACGTCGTTTCCCGTGGAAATTCCTAATATCCAGGTACGTTAAAGCGTTGAATCGGGTGAAATTAAATTATGAGACTCCCAGAAGCGAAGTTGCATCGAGGGAAATTGTTCGAGACGAGGGACGACGAGCTAAATCGCGCTTATATAATACTCGTATATATTTCGATCAATTCGGGACTGCGATCCATTAAATTTCAAATTGATCGACCGTAATCGCGACAACGGAAAACTCGAAAACAAACGAAATGGGTGAATTGAGAAAAAAGAGGAACGATAAAAAGGCCGTTTACTGCGTGGAATAACAACTAATTATAATTAATCGTCATTTGATCGTTCGTTATTTTCGATATGAAATATTAATATATCTTGATGGGCAAAAGATATTTGTTGAAACGAAGAATATTCATCAATGAATTTATAAAGATTCAACTCGATACTTTCATAACCTACAACATAACCTACACTTTCACATATAAAATGATCATTGTCATTATTTGACGTATCATTAATTGATCGTTTCATTATTCTGGGTATTCGATATAAAATACGTGTTTTTAATTAATATTTCTATGGGCAAAAAATATATGTTGAAACTCGGGCTGTATTTATAAAGATTATTCAATACTTTCATAACCTATAACACTTCACTTTCGCATATATAAAACGATGTATTGTATTGTTACGATGCAACTTTTCTCGTATAACCTACAAACAATTTTACTTTACATTTCTTACTCTTAAAATCCAATTCAAACTAAAATATTAATCGCGTATTAACATTTCTTTCCCACGTTTACTTACAATAATTAAATTTCTCTTTTTTAATTACGCACTATCCGTTCAACCATTTTACACTTTCTCGTGTTCCTCTCACGAAAAAATACTGCCAGCCTCGAAAAAACGAAAGGTCGTTTCTACTATAACGATTAACACGTCAAAGGCTCGAGCATTTTTCTCTCCAATCCTCCCCCGCAAAGCTTTGTAAATTTTCGCAATTTCCCATTTCTGTCCCGCGCTTTGGAGACGCGTGACGCTTCCGAATGAAAAAAAAAAAAAAAAAGAAAAAAGAGGTTCACTCACGGTTTCTGATGGAACCGTTACGATGGATCTATATTTTTTTCCCCGCGAATTTCCCCGCGTCACGACACGTGTGAGCAATTCCCCACACAACACCGAATATCGGGCGAGAACGCAGAGAGGAGGAGAAATGGCCGGGAAGAAATGATGCGCCGTGAGAAGAGGTCGCTCGCGTTCCCCCCCACTCACCATTTGAAATTTCGTATTATTTGACTTTTAATTCGTTGTTGTACGGGTGAGGAAGGGGTGATTCTGAAATTTAAAAAATTCGGATAGAAGGAATTTGTTATTTTTTTTTTTTTGTCTATATTTAAGTAAGTAATGGAAAGATTCTTACCACTTTTTCTTTAAAAAATTGGCAATGCTAATATCTAAAAGAGAACAAATGATTTCAAAATTTTAAATTTCCATAAATTGCGATCGATAACGCCTTGCCAATCAATATTTATTCCTCGTTTATTCTTGTATTTCTCCATAATCTATGCGCTATACTTTCGAAAATTTAATAATAATGATATTTAAATGAAGCGGTAAATTAGGTTACCGACAATGACCACTTTATTTGAAAGATTTTGTTCCTCGATGCTTGAACATGCAGCTATAAAATCCTGGTCTTAATTTCCTTCACAATATGCCATTATTAAGCTAATTGCTCGATCAAAAATTTGTCCTTTTTCTCCACTCTACTCTCAGGTTACTTTTGTGCGCGTTCGACAATTCAGAATTAAAATCAATAAATTATTCTTTGGGTAAAATAACTTGACTAAACACTGGTCAACCAACAACAAACACCTGTCTAAATTTCGAATATTTGAAAAAAATCAAATTTTCATCTCAAAAAAACAGATATTCATTTTATACAATATAAACCCACCTGAATTCTAAGATTCCTTACACAATTTTACTCGCCCGTAAAATTCACCAACGACTTTACTCGCGTGAAATCGAATCTTGAAGAAATATCGTTCGTCCCTGCACGCGATGCGGGATCCGCTTTACTCGCGCCGCGAGAAATCGGACCCGCTCGCTGTAAACAGGGACATGCAAATAGACGAAAGGATCGGGCCGCAAACATGCAGACAGCCCTTTCGTCTCTTCCTCCGACGATTCAATTTGCGCTGCGTACACAACACGCCACGTTTCTGGATAAAATCGGTGGCGATGTTGATATCGTCGAATATGACGAATTCGTGTTGCTTTGCGTCGTTGTTTGGAATGGAAATTTCCAATTTTCCCATTGAAACTTTTTGCACGGGCAGAATGCGATTAGCGTTCAACTTTTTGGAAATAGAGCGATTGGTAAAGTTGGATAGATGCTTCTTGAATAACGTAATAGCATAATAATATCGTGTGTAATAATAAAGAAGGAAAAAGAGGGAAGAGAGAAGACGGGTATTAATAAATATCCGTACTTTATATACGTTGTCTTGATGCGAGAAAAGAAAGAAAAACCGCGAAGGCCCAATAATAACCTCTCCTTTTTTACTCGAAAGAAAACGTCTGCCCTCGAGATAAGCGAAGACGCCTTTACTCCAACAATTCTCGCGGCCATTGTCTTCTTTTTTCGCTCTCTTTCGCCGCACGCTCAACCCGCAATACCTCTTTCATCTCTCCACCTCCCCCTCCGCCCTCAGCGCCGTGCCTTGCGCACAATTCATTCGACAACGGGGCAAGAAGGCACAATGGGCCGGGCTTGTTTCACACTTTCCACCATTCAACCGGCTTTATTTTCTTCTATCTACTTTTGAATCTACGAATCTACGCGAGTTGTTGTTGTTTCAGTTTGATTCTTCGCTTTTCTTTGTTAAAATTTTAACGCCACTTTTTTCCTTTGTTCCTTTTTTCTTCTTCTTTTCATTATATATATAATTTATTATATAAGCTCGATAACGAAAGAGAAAACGCTACTTTTCTTACAAAAATGCGATTGGGTATTAATTTTGAACGCCGAGAGCCGATCTCGGAAGCGACGGAAACTGTCGAGAAGAGCCGAACACGATCGGCCAAGATCGTTTCCACACAGTCGATAAGGTAGTATGTATATTTAACCGACGAAATTTATTGATTTAAAAATGTATTTAAAATTTGACACTTTGGTAAATTATCTAATAATATAACCTTGCTAATTTTTATCGTACTTTCTAATATATGTTCATAGTTGAGAAACACGGGAAAAATGAAATTTTACGCTTACTCCCTTGGCGCTAATCTAAAGTTCCAACCGCTTAGAATTTTGACCACGGAACCACTCACGAGGCCTTAATGGAGTTTATGCTAATACCTTTAAGCGTGTCTTCATCCACTTCGCTTTGAGTTTGTTTTCAGCCTCCGTTACGACTTCTCATTTCTTTTCTTTTTTTACTCGTGCACCGATTATAATTTAGCCGGTCTCGCATTATTAAGCAAGCTTTATTGTTTGGCGTTGCACGGTTCTGTTCTCGGCTAAGACGATTGAAACCGTGCATTGTACGTTAGATGTAAAATTGACGTTTCGAGTTACGCGCCATTTGT